TTTATTGCCTACCTATGTTCTATTGTATAAACATAGGACCTTTTTGTCTATCCAGTTCTGAGTACTTCTCTTTCTGTTTTGGTTTTTCAAGACAGGGTTCTCTGTGTAACAAGCTTGGCTGTACTGGAACTTGTTTTGTGACCAGGCTGATCTTGAACTCACAGAGATCCACCTGCCTCTGGAGTGCTGAGATTAAAGGCATGAGTGACCACAGCTGGTCTATTTCTGAGTATTTCTATTTTGGCTTTATGAATGAGCTATCAACGCTGTGTGGACACAGGATTTCACATCTCTCAGACAGACAGCAAGAGTACCTCTGAGCTCATGGCCATCCCTTGCTTAACATTTTGTTGAATTGCCAAACTGTTTTCCAAAGTAGCTACATTTTGTGTTCCCCCTTTCAATGCACACAGGAATTTGTTTTGCCAGAATGTGTTTTTTTGTTGTTTTTCTTTCAGCCAACCCAGTGAGTATGAAGCGAAGGCTGATGGTGGCTTTGCTTTGCCTTCTCCTCCTAACTAGCAAGGCTGAGTATCTTTTTTTTTTTTTTTTTTGGTTTTTCGAGACAGGGTTTCTCTGTGGTTTTGGAGCCTGTCCTGGAACTAGCTCTTGTAGACCAGGCTGGTCTCGAACTCACAGAGATCTGCCTGCCTCTGCCTCCCAAGTGCTGGGATTAAAGGCGTGCGCCACCACGGCCCAGCAAGGCTGAGTATCTTTATCTTTTCAAGGACCCATTGGCCAGCGTGTGTCTTCCTTGCTGCTATGTCTGCTGAAATCCTTGGTTTGTTTAAGGATTTCTCTAGTGCATTTTTGTAATTTGAGTTTAAGAGTTCTTAGTATATTCTCAGGCCAATGAGATAGCTTAGCAGGTGAAGGTACCGACTGCCATGCAAGAAGGCTCTTGAATTCAAGCCCTGGAATTTACATGGTGGAAGAGAACTGATTCCCACAATTCCTTTCACCGCTGTATAAATGTCACGGTATAAGACTGAGACTCCCCTAGATAAGTAAAAACAAATGTAAGAACAAATGAAGGGGCTGGAGAAATGGTTCATCAAGTTTACAGCACTTGCTACTCTTCTAAGGACGCAAATTTGGCTCCCAGCACCTATATTATTCAGCTCACAACTACGTGTAACTCTATCTCCAGGGGATTCAATGCTGTCTTCTTGCTTCTGTGGGTACTGCACTCATTTGTAACTACATTCTCACAGACACATACACATAAATAGAAAATAAAAACAAAGCAAGTTTTACTTTTACATTTTTGGATAATTGCTGAGACATGATCTGCGGATATTTTCTCCTTCTGTAGGCTATCTTTATTTTTTTGTTGGTATCTACTTGGGCAGAAAAGTTTTCAGTTTTGATGAGGTCTTTTGTGGAACACTGTCCACAGGGCATAAAATAGCTATTAGCCCGAGCAGCAGTGTTACTCATAGGTGCCCCTCAAGATGAGATGTGTGGGCAGTCCCTCATCTGAGGTTCCAGTCACTACCCCCCTTTCTCTCCTACCTCACTCCCAGCTGCATGTATAGTCATCGCAATAGGTGCTAAGGTAGTTAGAGGTTGGAAGATTAACCACAGGGAGGAAGGGGGCACTCTAACTACGCAGATTTGGGGGGACAGTTACCCATGCTGAGTTGTTTGGAGTCACGCATTCACCTCCAACTAAGCCCTATCAATTCATTAGTTCTTCGAGCTGGACCTGGGTGGGACTGTATCTTTGTCCTGTGCTCTCTCCTGGGTAAATGGAGATTTGTTCTCGTCTTCCCAGGGAAAGTTAATGTAAGAGTACAAACTATTTCTCCTTTGTTGCCCATGTCTTTAGTGTTCTAATAAAGAAACCGGAGCTTCACTAGGGGTCGTGAAGATTTACTCTTGTTTTCTTCCGAGTTTTAGTTCTTGTAAGGCTTTACAAAGGGATGTGTTGAGGTAACCATGACTCAGAACTATTGGTTTGGATCTCACTTCTATTCATAAGGGTCATAGTTCATCCCAGACACAATCCGACTGTAGGAACTTTTAAGTTATCTATTAAAATGATGTAACTAGGAGCAGTAGAGATATCGCAGCAGTTAAGAGCACTGGCTGCTCTTCCAGAGGACCCAGGTTCAATTCTCAGTACCCTCATGGCCACTCATAACCGTGAGTAACTCCATTTCCAAGGGATCTAAGACCATGCTCTGACCTCTGCAAGTACTGCATGTTCAATCATGACACACAGACACATGCAGGCAAAACACCCATACACGTAAAAAAAATAAAACTTTAGAATAATTTTTGAAAAGTGGGTGTAACTAGCACCATAGCTGTCTGGTGTGTGTCTGGCACTGCATATGAGCTGAGCATTCTGTTATGTGTAGTCTCTTCGGTCTTTACTATGCTCCAGCGTCCACTGGACATGAGCTGAGCATTGTGCTGTGTGTAGTCTCTTCAGTCTTCACTGTGGAGCTGATGCTACTCCAGCGTCCACTTTTCATAATGTAATATGCATATAACAACATCTCTATCTTTTAGGAAGAAAACTGTACAGACTAAATAAGCTCGTGGACAGAATATGTCACAGTGCTTGGGATCCAAAGATGAATTTCCTTCTCTATTCTTTGTTACTTCATATGAACCTCTTAGATACGAACCCTGGAGCTGATGATGTTTACATTCTCCTAACCTGCTGATCCCCCTCCAACCATTCTTTATGACTTAATGTTTGTTTGTTTGTTTTTTTTTTTTTTGAAAGATTTGTTTGGCCAGATCTGGTGGAGCACTCCTTTAATTCCAGCACTCGGGAGGCAGGGAGATCTGAATTTGAGGCTAGCATGGTCTACAGAGCTAATTCCAGGACATCCAGAGCTACACAGAGAAAAACCTACCTTGAAAAACAAAACAAAACAACATTTGTTTTGTTTTTAATGATGGGTCTGTGTTAATAATCTCTGCACACAAGAGACATCAGATCCCCTGGAACTAGAGTTACAGGCAGTTGTGAGTCACATGGTGCTGGGAGTTAAACTCAGATCTTCTGAAAGAACAGTATGTGCTCTTAACCACTGGGCCATCTCTCCAGCCTGACTTACATCATTCTTAAAATTTATACTCCTTCAACCAAATCTTCCAGTCCCATAAAGGTAGAGGGTATAATTTTGTCCTCACATTCGATTCCATAACACCCACATAGGCTCGGCAGCATGGTGATCTTTGAGAAATGCACACGTGGATGGTGAGTATGCAAGTGTTTAGCATGCACCAGGGCCCGAGTTTCATCCCTGGCATCAAACGAAACAGGAAATACTGTCCCCTTAGCCCTCAAAAAGTTCACAAATTAAAACATCTGCTATCACTCTGTTTAAAGTTTCCAGTGGAAGCTGGGTGCAGTGGGGAATGCTCTTGTTCCAGCACTTGGGAGGCAGAGGTAGAGGCTTCTGACCTCTACACCTACATAGTAACCTCCCCTGTGCCACAAAAATTAAAATCTTTAAAACAAAGATTGCCATGGATTTGAGGCCACTTTAAATCACTGAGATTACTAGGTCAGCCAGGGGTACATGGCAAGGCCCCATCTCAAAACACAAAAATACAAACAAAAAAGGCCAGGGGCAGTGGCATAAGTCTGTAATTTCAGTACTTGGGAGTCAAAGATTGGAGGAGAATCAGATGTTCAAGGACATCTTCAGATGTACACTGAATTCAAGGTCTGCCTGGGCTACATAAGTCCCAGTGCCTGGAAACCAAAACAACTGAAAAGGAAAATAAAAAAAACTTTTCAATGGCTATAGTTTGTAATTTGAATAACCCCCAGTTTAATACAGCCGAGAGGCTACTGCTTGCTTCATATGTGTGTGTTTCTCATTTTGCAACAAATGCTGTTGTCTTCCCTTGGACTTGTTTCTTTGCTGCTCCTCTTGTCTAGGTTGTGAGCCATCTGTCCAGCCCTCTTTTCTGATCCTTGTGTATATTTGTTGTTTCCTGACTCTAAGTCTCTTCCCTCTGCTAACTCTGATTAGTTTCTCATTTTGTAGGACTCCTTCAAAATGTCAGCTTGTCTCAGTCTTCCCTGACCAGCTTGTCATGTGACCACCATCCCTTCATCCATGATTTCTCAATCATGAACTTTTTCTTTTCTAAAAAACGTATTTTTATATCTTTAACTGAAACAGTTTACATATTTATGGAGTAGAGTGTGATAATCCAATACATGTATACCATGTGTGGCAAGGACTTCAGACATTACTTGTGTTAGGAACATTCAAAAGCCTCTACTATCTATTTTGAAATAGTCAATGTAGCATTAATAATAAGAATCCAGAGACAGATATTGGGGTTCAAGCTAAGATCAGAAAAGCAAAGCAGCCAACCACTAGAGAGTTCTTACCTCTACCAAGGCTCAGACAAACAATTGGGTGACCCTGTCCTCAGAGTGACTGTAGACTGCAATGCTCTTCACCAAAGCCCAGACTGCAATGAGCTTGTCTTCTCCTGCCTTAAATTTCTCTCTGCTCAGCCATATTACTACTCCTGTCTCCACCTCCATAGTGCTGGGATTAAAGCCGTCTGACTCCCAAGTGCTTGGAGCACCTATGTGTGAGTTCTATTTCTCTTTTTAGACAGATTCAATCTCGAGTAGCCCAGGGTGGCCTTGAGTCCTGGGGTTAAAGATGTGTGCCACGGCTACCTGGCCTCTAGTGGCTTAGCTCTGCATTCTGATTTTTGGCAAGCTTTATTTATTAATACATACACACACACACACACACACACACACACAAAGCTGAGTGGTAGTGCTACACGCCTTTAATCCCAGCACTCAGGAGGCAGAGGCAGGTGGATTTCTATGAGTTCAAGGCCAGCCTGGTCTACAAGAGCTAGTTCCTGGACAGGCACCAAAGCTACAGAGAAACCTTGTCAAAAAATAAATAAATAAATAAATAAACAAATAAATAAACCACACAAATCACGATAAGTCAGTAATTTTTATTAACCATAGTTATACTATTGATGCACTGTTCCGTTTTCCTCATGGTTCCAAAATCATCTGTATAATTAATTATTATAGCTAATCTTTAAGCCCTTACCTGGGCACTTTTCATACATTAACTAATGAAGAGGTGTGCTGTTAATGCTTATCAACGGGCTCTCAAAACCCATGGTTTGTTGTGTTTGCTGATTTCTCAGATGTAAACACTCCCACCTGGAGGGATGTCAAACTACCAACCTAATTGAGAAGACGCAGAAGTGCGTCATTACACGCTACTTTACTATAGTAGTTGTTTTGGTTATTATTGTCGACTTTACACAACCTAGGGTCATCTGGGAAGAGGAAACCTCAGTTGAAGAATTGCCTCCATCAGACGGGGTGTGTGAGAAACTGTCTTGATTTTGAAATTGACTAAAGTCGGGGGGTGGGGGAGCATCATCCCTGGGCAGGTGTGCCTGTGTTGTGCAAGAAAGCGGGCTGGGCATGAGCAGAAGAGAAGATCCGGAAGTAGTGTTCTTCCACGGTTTTAGCTTCAAGATCCTGCCTTGAGTTCCTGCTTTGTCTTCCCTCGGTTAAATAACTTGCTGAAGGTCGCAGAGCGTTTAAGCCACTCCAAAGTGTTTCCTCAGAACACAATATAGTGCCTGGAGGACGGTTGGCGTAGAATAAATACACACAAGGCACTCTTTAAAAATATAAAAGTAAACATTTTCACATTAAAAATATGCGCACTGGTGAACTTATTTAAGATGTGCTCACGATCTCAGTAAAAAATTTTCCCTTCTCTTGGGTAGAAGAGGTGCAGTCCAAACCTTTACTACGAGTTTGACACATCCCGCTTTCCGTCGTCCCGCCGCAAACCTTCCTGGGAGTGGTAGTCTTCAGGCCGCTGGGCTCCCGCAGCAGCAGCGGCAATCGCCCGGCCGAGGTACTACAGGGTGGCGCGCAGGGTTTGAGGCTCTTCCGCATTGCCTTTTGCCCTCCCCGCCTGCGCGCCCGCCTCAGTTATCATGGCGGCTCCCTTGGTCCTGCTGCTTGTAGTGGCCGTGACCGTGAGGGCGGCCTTGTTTCGCTCCAGCTTGGCCGAGTTCATTTCCGAGAGGGTTGAGGTGGTGTCCCCACTGAGCTCTTGGAAGAGAGGTGAGGCCACCGGCTGGAGCAGGCCGGTCTGCACTGTCCCAGCCTCAGTGGATTGAATCGGAGGTGGCGGCAGTGGGCACCTGCGTGCGGTTCTGAGCAGACTGACCCGCGCCTGGGGTCCTTCGCGAGCTGAGGGCGGAGCTCTGGTGCGGAGGATGGGGTGTAGAGGAGGTGTGGAGTGTGAGCCCCACTATCCGAGGGGTGGGTCTCCGAGGGGGCGTGGCCCACTCTCCCGAGTCGGGCTGCGGGAACCGCGGGAGGCTGGACGTCCCCAGGTGCCGCGTGCCTTGGGTTTGTGGAGTGTTAGGGCTTGGCAGCGAGGTTACAGGCGGTGGTCCACCCAGTAGCAGATGGTAGAGGGGATTAGGGGGGCCGAGGGAACCCGTGCTTTTGCAAGAATGGTATCTGTGTACTGAAGTCACTTCTGCCCAGTCTTGGACTCTCAGTGAAGTTTTTCTTAGTTTGTCTTTTTAATATATGTATGCTACGTTTTTCATCAAACCTTATTGCATGCCATCCCCTCCAACAAGGCACAGAAATTGGGGTGAAGGAGCCACAGGCCAGTAAAGGAGACGAGCAAGGGTTTATCATGGTTGCCTTCGTGTCAGACCCTGATAAACTGTCTTTCATTTTCCAGACCGGACTAACGAAGCACTAGAGTTTGGAAAAGATTAGAAAAACGGGGAGTTCCAGGTTGCAGAAAGCAAAGGGGATCAGGAAATACCTGAGGATTTGAAATATCCAGAATAGAGAAGATCTGTGGGTTAGGTTAGGGCTACAATTTGACTAATTTTTTTTTATCATTACTTGTGTGTGGGGGGTTCTGTGTATGGTATGTGTGTTCAGAAGCTAAAGGAAGATGTCAGGTGGCCTCCGGTGTCACTCTACCCTTTCTCCCGCGAGATAAGGCCTCTCGGAACTGGAAGCTATTTCCACTGGGCTGTATGGCCAAGAGCTCCAGGTTGCTTCCTGTTTCCACCCCTATAATGCTGGAGTTATAGGCATCTGTGGCTATGACCATTTTTTTTTTTTGTTTTTTACATGGGTGGGGGGATTTGAATTGAGGTCTTCTTGCTTGTACACGGAGTGAGTGCCCTTACGCACTGAACCATCTGTTCAGATCAAGTTTAAGTCTTTAAACAAAACAAAAAACCAGAAGTACATTATACATACCAAGCACATGTAAGGGGTCTTAGTGAAGTTTTATGAACCATGTATACACGGATAACCAGCACCCAGATAAAAAATATTAGCACCCTAGAATTCTCCTTTACACTTGCTTATTATTTGTTTCTGAAATGGGGTTTCTCCTTTAGCCCAGGATGGACTCGAATTCATGGTGACCAGCCTTCAAGTGCTGGGACTGTAGGTGTGAGCCACCACATCTAACTTTATTCTCAAACTTTAATGCCCATGTTTTGATATCACTTGCTGTCATGAGATAACATTTATTCTTCCTCTACACTCTTAGAACCGTATACATGCCTGTTTTTAAGACTATTTCTCTGAGCTGGGCTTGGTGGCACAGGTCTCAAATCCCGGCACGGGGCGGGGAAGCCGAGACAGGAACATTTCAAGTTTGAAACCAACCTCAGCTCCTTATAGAGTTCAGGGCCAGCCCAGCTATGTAGTAAGACTGTGTCTCAAAACTAAACAGTAATCCTCACCTTATATAACAATTATTTGTTGCGATCTGGTCTTCCTATAGTATTACCAGCTCCTTGAGATACTGTTTTATGCTTAAATTCCTTGGTGCTGGGCATAGAACAGGTGTGTAGTTAGTTCCTGTTGACTAATGTGGAAGAAATGAAAGCATCGGGTCTGTTGTTTACAGAATAGATAGAAGGATTTAAAGGGGAGGCAACATTATGTATGATTTCTAGAATCTTCCGAAGGATTTGAGTCTTTCTTTGCTCTGCCACTTACTTTGTGAAACAGGGCACTAGATGAGATAATCATACAGAAATGAGCGCCGCAAAGCCAAACCTCAGTTCTGAGGTCTCGAACAGGGGTCACATTGCCGAGCTGAGGAGGTGAGTCAGAAAGGATAGGGTAATAAACGTGTGGCCTGTGTGTTAATAGTGTGACAATCAGAGGTTTAGATCTCCATAGCTGAGGGTCCGTATCTAGGCTAGAGACATTTGACACCGTGACCATAGAAACTCTTTATTTGTTTTTTTATTTTTAAGATTTATTTATTCATTGTATATATAGTATTCTGCCTACATGCATGCCTGCAGGCCAGAAGAAGGCACCAGATCTTATTACAGATGGTTGTAAGCCACCATGTGGTTGCTGGGAATTGAACTCAGAACCTTTAGATGAGCAGATGGTATTCTTAACCACTGAGCCATCTCTCCAGCCCCATAGCAACTCTTATAAAGGAAAACATTTCATTGAGATGGCAGCTTACAGTATCATAGGATTAGTCCATGGCAGCATGTGGGAAGATGTGGTGCTGGAGAAGGCGCTGCTATAAGTTGATGTGCAGTAGACTGTCCCTGGGAGTGGCTCAAGCAAAGGAGAGACCACCCCTACGGTGATACACTTCCTCCTATAGGGCCACACCTAATAGCATCACTCCCTTTGGGGGCAGTTTTCTTTCACAGTGGTCACACAGCATTAGGAATTTGTTAAGAAATGGTAGTTACTAGCTCATTTTAAGGAGAGGATACAATATCTGTCACTTATATTTATAATTCGTTTAGTAGGGTAGATTTAAAAGCAAGTAATTATGCCAAGCATATGTCTTATAGTTGTAATTCCAGCATTTAGGAGGCTGAGATAGGGGATTCATTAGGAGTGAGAGACCAGAATGGGCTACATAGTGAGTTCTAGACCAGCTTGGGCTACAGAGTAAGATATCTCAAAACCAAACAAACAAGCAGGTGATTACATTAAACTCTAAATGCTAGGCATTTAAAGATAGTAAAATAGGGCCAGATGTGGCGGCACACACCTTTAATCCCAGCACTCAATAAGCAGAGGCAGGCAGATCTTTGTAAATTTGAGGCCAGCATGGTCTACAGAGTGAGTTCCAGGACAACCAGGGCTACACAGAGAAACCTAGTCTCAAAAAACAAACAAGTAAAGTAGGGGCCATTCTGGTTTTACATGACATTTTGAGATTTTTGAGTCACCAGCTCTTTGGATAAAGGGCCTGGTATCCTCATCCTCATAGACGTTGGCTGGCTGTTATATGTGCTTGTCTATTTAGACATTGTGTGTGTTCATGTGTGTACACTGTGTGTGCAGGTGTGTGTGTTTACCAGATTTGATATTAGGTGTCTCCCTTGATTATGCTGTAGTGAAAGGAAGTACTGATTTGCTGTCTGTTGGTGTGGTAAAATATTACCAAAACTGACTTGGGAAGGAAAGAATTTCTTTGGCTTACAGGTTACGGTCCATCATCAGGGAAGCTGAGGCAGGAGCCTGAAGCAGAGACCGTAGAGGAAAGCTGCTTACTGGCTTGCTTCCCCTGGCTTGTTCTGCTCCCTGCCTGTTCTGAATAGCTGCCAATCCTACATCAATTAGCAATTAAGAAAATACCTCCCAGACATGCCCACAGGTCAGTCTGACAGAGGCAGTTTCTCAGTTGAGATTCCCTCTTCCTCCGTATGTCCAGGTGTTTGTCAGGTTGACCAACACCATGACAAAGGGTCTTTCACTGAACATGGGGTTCACCAATTAAGTTAGGCTAGTGGTCAGTGAGCCTCAAGATCCTCCTGTCTCTGCCTCTGCAGCGCTAGGATTACAAGGTGTTTAATAGTCTTTACCGACTAACCATCTCCTCAGTCCCTGTTTTTTGAGACCAAATCTCATATATCCCAGGCTAGCCTGGGACTCAGGTAGTTAAGGATTACCTTGAGGTTCTGACCTGCTTACCTTCACCTAGCAGGTGCTGGGATTACAGGTGTGTGCCATTATGTTTGGTTTTATGTGGTGCTTGGCATTGAACCCTGGATTTTTTACATACTAGGCAAGCACTCTACCAGTCAAGCTGGGTCCCAGCCTACCTGATGGGTTCTAAGTTAGGGTGTTATCATTTGTTCTTTCGTATGTAGATGATGACGATGCCTCAGATCTACGTCCAACACGTGAAAGCTGAGGCAAGAGGCGTGCAGCCAGCTGTAGTCCAGCCTGAGCACAGAATGAGACCTGTCTTTAAGAAAACCAAAACCACCGCTGCGATCACCACCACCACCGCCCCCCCCCCTCAGAAAAAAACTTAGGGCTAGAGAAGTGACTTAGTGAGTACGAGTACTTGCCATGCAAGCGTAAAGACCTGAGTTCAAATCCTATAAGCCAGGCAAAAGCTGCATGCATAGTGTAGTTGGTTGTTTTTGACTCATTGACTCTTTCGGGAGCCCATCACCGAGCTCCCAAATCAATGCACATGGAGACTGATTATTACTTATGAGTATCTGGGCTTAGCTTGGCTTGTTTCTTGCCAGCTTTTCTTAAATTATCCCATCTATCTTTTGCCTCTGGGCTTTTCCTTTTCTTCTGTAATCTTACTTTCACTCTTATCTGTGTCTGACTGTGGCTGGGTAGCTGCCCCCTTCTTTCTCACTCCTTGCTCTCTCTTGCTTCTCATCCCTCTTTTTCTCCTTCTGTTTATTTTCTCTGCCTGCAGCCCCATCAGCTCTTTCTCCTGCCTTGCTATTGGCCATTCAGCTCTTTATAGATCAATCAGATGTTTTAGACAGGCAAAGTAACACAACTCACAGAGTTAAATAAATAAAACATAAAAGAACGCAACATATCTTTGCATCATTAAAGAAATGTTCTACAGCATAAATGAATGTACCATATCTTAAAATAATATTCCACAGCATGCATAGTGTGAGCATCTGTAATTCTGGTAATCTTACTGGGTAATAGGAGGCAGAGACTAGAGAATCTCTGGAATCATGAGGGCCAGCTAGACTGGCATATGTGTAGCTGGCGACTACACTGGATGTTTGGGATCCCAGTGTAACCTCAAGCCTGTTACACAT